GGATGAGCTTTTCCAGCGGAAGGTAACGTGTTTCGGCGTCAACCATCGCCTTTCTCACATAATACATTGGCCATTGCTCCCCCATCTCTTCCTTTATCAATACGATGCTGACGGCTCGGTCAGAAACTGCCAGGTACAAAATGAGCGGGTCACCAGCAGAGGGTGTTGTCAGGAGTGGTACTGAGCGGAGGTAGGTCTTCAGGCCGTTGAAAGCGGCTTCACACTCGGTGGACCATTCAAAGGCCTTACCCCGCCGTAGCGTATGAAAGAATTGTCGGCAGCGATCTATGGACCGGCTGATAAACCTGTTGAGTGCAGCAGCCATCCCCATCAACTTTTGAACCTCCTTTACTGAACGAGGGGAGCCAAGCTCCAAGATTGCTGTGATTTGCCTTGGGTTGGCTTCGATTCCTCTGTGGTTAATAATGTAGCCCAAAAATTTTCCAAAGTCGATACCAAACGCACATTTGGAAGCATTTAACTTCATTCCATATTTGCGTAGAATGCTGAATGTCTCTTCCAGATCGACTATATGATTCTGCTCTTCTTTGGATTTAACCACCATATCGTCAATGTACACTTCCATAGTTTTGCCGAGTTTCTCCTTGAACATGGTGGTGACCAGTCTCTGATAGGTTGCCCTGCATTCTTCAGCTCAAAAGGCATTACCATAGCAATAGGTTCCTCTTGGGGTGAGGAATTAAGTTTTCTCTTGATCCTCCGGATGCATAACGATTTCATGATAACCTCTATAGGCATCAAGGAAGCTCATACGCTGATGGTGCGCCGTAGCATCTATAAGCTGGTCTATTCTGGGAAAAGGAAAACAATCCTTTGGGCAGGCTTTGTTTAGGTCCGTGAAGTCGATGCACACTCGCCAAGTCCCATTTTTCTTCTTCACCACCACTGTATTAGAGAGCTATGTAGGGTAGGTCACCTCCCTAACTGCTCCGGCATCAAGTAGCCTGTCAACCTCCTCAACAACGGCGACAGTGTGCTCTGCGGCTGACCGCCGACTTTTCTGGATGATTGGCTTGCACTTAGGATCGACATTCAAATGGTGCTGTGAAACTGACGGATCTATGCCCGGCATCTCATACGGAGTCCATGCAAAGACATCGAGGTTGCTAAGCAGAAAAGATACTAGTTGTTGTCTGTCGGCCTGATTTAAGGAGACGCCGACCATGAAGAACTTGTCTGGGCTTCCATCGATTTGAACTCGTTCCAAGTCTTTCGTTGCCTTTTCATTTGGGAGCCGACTGGACATCGTTGAGGCTTTCTCGATCCGGCAACTCAATGGAATTCACCTATAGTTCCATTGGCGTTTTCTCAGTGAGGAGATAACATGCTTGTGCCAATTTCTGGGAGCCACAGATTTGCTCAATACCGCGTTCTGTAGGGAAGTGGAGCAGCTGATGATAGGTGCTGGGCACGTCTCGCATAGTATGCAACCAGGATCGCCCCATGATGAGATTATACGGCGACGACAGCTTGACGACCAAGAATACCACATCCACTGTTTGGGAGCCTGCTCGAACAGGAAGTCTGATTTTTCCCAACGGGTACTCTGGATTGGCATTGAAGCCGAATAGTGGATAAGGGGCTGGACAGAGATCCGAATCGGAGAAGCCGAGTTTGATGAATGTCTTGTAGTACATAATCTCCGATGTGCTCCCCGGATCAATGAGTACGCGCTCAACTGTGAATCGGTTTACGCGTAACTCAATTACCAAGGGATCAATGTGGGGCAGTGTTACTCCGGGCCAAATCCGAATCATCAAAAGTGATAACCTCGGCTTCATGGGGCCGTTTAGCCGAAGTGAGTTGCTCTTGAGGGTTAGACCTTGACTGAATCGCGTGCACTGTTGATGACATTGGCAGGCTGTATATCATGTGGATCATGCGGAGCGCATGTGAATCCTGTGTCAAGGCTATTGCTTTGGTTGGGTTGCCTTTTCGGATGTACCGTTGTAGCCGGCCATCTTATGCCAATTTACCATCGTACAAGGTGAATGATGGTGCTTTGAATTTCTTGGGTAGCACTGCCTTTGCAATCCGTCGTACAAAAGGATCGTGTTGATCGTTATCCGAGCTGTTTCTTCTTCGCTTATGCCTTGCACAAGGACTCTCTTCAGAAGAACTAGAAATTTCAAATCGTCCCTTTTTCTTGGGCTCCGAGGATAATGAGTCGGAGTTGCTATTAGTATCTTGTTGTCGGGCTTGAGAACGTCGAGCAGTTGCCCTCACAGGTCGTCTCGGGCCTTGGTATGCAGATTGTTTGGACTTCGCCACCTCCAAGGCCAAATCTTGACGGAGATGTCCGTTCTTTGCGATCATGTTCGCCAATCTTTGTTCATTTTGCTTTGCTTGTTGCAGGATCGCTTGTATTGCTTCGTGCTCCGAAGTCGAGGGTGAGGCGAAATTCAAGGCACATTTTGCGGCGATAGTCTCTGTTCTAAGCATGTTTGTTGGAGTGGTTTTATCTTGCGGTATAGGGTCGACAGTGACTGTCGGAGGATCTTCCATCACGCTCGCCATGGATGTGCTTGAGTATTCCCACAGACGGTGCCAATTGTGAAGAAGTGGTTTGGAAATACTCTTCTGATCTTGGAGAACGCTCGTGATCCTCTTCTGGTCACCTGAAAAAGAATAAACACTCCGGTCAGGGGTGCCAGAATTAGCACTCTGACGGACAAGTCAGAATCCACACTCAAGAATGCTTGTATTCGAAGTTAAGCACCATAATTCTCACATACCTCTTTCTGACTGATGTTCTTCTATTTATATCTTTTCTTCCATGGGCCTCGGGATTCAGTCCATTTCCAACTCATATTCGGCGCATTTTATAATAGATCGACCTTCACTCGGCCCCTTGCCTAATCGGTCATTTGGCCGAATAGGGTTGGATTTGAGCTTGCGAGCCAATTGTCGAGTGCTTCGAATCTCGACTCTCCGAGATTCGGCTATCCGGAATCTCTATGACTCCCTCTTCTCGCCCCCCACAATTGTAACAAGTAGAATGTAAACTCTACTGTCTAGTGGTTCTTAAGCATATTTTGGTAACTAAGATAAAAGTCAATTTATTAGTTTTTTGACTTTTTTGAATCATATCGCATCTCTATTTTTTTGTACATTTTTTTTTAAAAAAAAGTAATCAAAAAAATCAAAAAGTCAACTTTTTATCTACTTTTCAAAATAGGTTTTGGTAGGACTTGCTTGGGAACTTTAGCATTTAATCAAAAAGTTAAAAATCATTATAAATTATTAAATTATTACCTCTATTTTTTTATACATCTTTTTTATAAAAATTTTAAAAACATCCCTACATGAGTTTTCTCGTTTATAAGAGGGAGACTAGTTCTCTGCATTTTCGTTTTTTCTTTTCTTATACTTTTTTATTTTTATTTTATAAAGAGTCTTATTAACATGTGCTCTTAGAGCATATGATAAGAAAGTTTAAAAGTATTGTACATCGTTTATTATACTTACTTTCATGCATAACGTATAAATAGACAAAGCATCTTAACATATGCCCTAAAGGTACACGCTAACAAAATCTTTTTATAAAATTACAAAAAAAAAAAAAAAACAAACAAAAAAAATTAGAATTTGGAATTTATAACAAAATAAACTCTAAGGGCATCTCCAATGCATTGCTAAAACAGTTGCCAAAGTCATAATATGGCAGCTTGAGCAAAAATGACTTCTCCAATGGCATGCTATAGCAGCTGCCAAATTTGGTAACTGCTAAATGTGCCAACTCACCAAAAATCAACCGTTTTCTTCCTTCCCTCACTCATCATTCCTAACAAAATAGGGTTAATTTTTTGTAAAACCAAATTCACCAATTTTTTTTTTAAAATAGAAATTGTTTAAAACAAACAAATTTTAATACATAAATTATTTCAACAACCAAACCCTTCAAAAAAAAAATAATAATTCACAAACGACAACAACAACAATAATCAAACAATTTCAATGCAAACAAGCAATTTCAAACGAATTTTAAACAGAAATACCAGGAATTTTTGGTGGTTGATGGATTTGAGACAAGGGTTTCGATTTCTGCGATCTGCGAATAGGGCTCCTTGATGCAATCTGTGAAATGGGGGAGAATGATCTACGATCTTGGTTCTCATGTTTGTTTTCATCTTCTTTGTGTTATGCGAGGAGGGGTTTGTGAGAGAGAGAGAAAGAGAGAATGATCTGCGAAGAAATAAGAGAAGAAATGAGGGTGAGCATGAAAAAGATTGAGAGAGAAAGAGACTATGGTCTGATCAAATAGCATGTGATGGCACCAAGTGAGTCGTTGATGTAATCCAACGGTTAGAAAATGGGTGATTGTGAAGGTTGAACCATTATTATTATTATTATTATTATTAAATTTTGTAGTGGCGTTGTGATGAATTATATATATATATTTTTAACTTTTAATTTTTTATTTTTTATTTATATAATTGTCAAAAAAATTATCTGAATTAAAAAAATTATATATATAATTTTTATTTTCTCCTCTCTTTTTAATTTCATTTCACATATAATTGCCAATATATATATATATATATATATATCTGAATTTCAATTTTTTTTCATTTTTTATATTTGTCTAGTCGGGAATAATATAAATATATATTTATTTTTACAAAAAGTTAAAAAAAGGTCACAAAAGATAAAAAAATAAACAGAAATAAAATCATTAAAAAACCTATATTCAAACAACATCTACAAACTTAGAGGGAAAGTTGGTTAAGAATTACTAAAATAACAAGTGACTATTGAAGCATCATTGCTATAACTTGGCAAAATAATACTATTTATTATCAAATCATAGCAATAACCATCGAAGATACTCTTAGATAGTTTTTTTTTTTTTTAAATGGTCAAAATAATAATGGAACAAGAACGCAAAATCAAAGAGACGCCTCCCTCCTAATGAGGGAGTGTAAAGAAAGTGGAACCTCCTCCAACCATATGGAAAAGTCCTTCATAGCAAACGTCATTCAAGTTAGACAATGGACTACCGAATTCCCTTCCCGTTTCACATGCTGAATATCCCAGGAATGGAATCTGGCCAGCAGAGATTTAGCTTGCTCCACAAAATTCCCAAACGAAGCCAAGGACTTCAAAGAGGAGAGAAAGGCGCGAACTATCATTAGCAAGTCACCTTCAATAATTATGTGGTGCAACCCCAGATCCAACGCGAACTGAATAGCTGCAAGCGCTGCAAAGGCCTCAATACAATCCACATCCATCGTTGATGCCCTTTTGGCTGACATAGCAGCAATGACTGCACCCTTATGGTCCCGAACCACAACCCCAACACCAATCAAGCCTTCGACTACAGAGCAAGCCCCATCAAAATTAGCTTGAAACAGCCCTGACTCTGGAGGAATCCAATGAATTGGCATGTGAACATGCTGCGACACCCGAACACGACATTGGACTGCACAAACTTCTTGATAATATTCATATGCATACCGAGCAAGCTCCACCTCAGATTGGGCCTTATTATTGAGCACCACTTGGTTGCGATGTGTCCAGATGCACCAGCACATCACCCAAAACAACTTCCCAGTCGCTAATCAAAAGATGAAATAACCTCTATAATCCAGTCAAACAAAGTCCCACCCCCGTTGTCGATAAGCAACCAAGGTAAGGCTGCTACATGCCCATACCTTTTTCGCAAAAGGACAATCAAAAAAAGTGATGAATTGATTCAGGAGCTTGATGATAGAGAGCACAATCATCATTAGTTAATACCTTCCGTGCCCGTAACTTAGATCGCACTGGCAAAATTTCTAAACACATTTTCTAGCTGAAAACTTTTATCTTACCAAGAAGCCGCATGTTCTCTCTGGTCCCTAGGTTGGGTATCCTCATACATGGTTTTTGATTTTATAGGCTTCAAACCCATCCTCCTCGATGTATTCCAGACCCTATCGCTCGCCAAGGCCTTGGTTAACGGATCCGCAAGATTATCACAAGATCTTACATAATTCACAGTTATGATGCCATTACTCAAATAGGATCTCATATTACTGTGTTTCCTTCGAATAGGTTTGGATTTACCATTATAAAAATGGTTATTCACTCTACCAATAGCAGCAGTGCTATCACAACGAATTAACACGGGAGGAATTGGTTTTTTCCCAAAAGGAATTTCATGTAAGTAATCTCTTAACCAATTCACTTCCTCACATGCTGAAGCTAACGCTATAAGTTCAGCTTCCATAGTAGAATTAGCAATTATAGTATGTTTTTTAAACTTCCAACATATAGCACCACCACCCAAGGTAAAAATAAAACCCGAGGTAGAGAGAGAATCACTTGACAAAGTGTTCCAATCGGCATCACTATATCCCTCAAGTACCGCAGGATACTTGTTATAAAACAAACCATAATTTTTGGTACCAGATAAATATCTCATAATTCTTCCCATGGCGAGCCAATGATCTCGACTTGGCTTGCTAGTAAACTTGCTAAGTACTCCAACAGCATATGCAATGTCAGGTCTAGTACAGTCAGTAGCATATCTCAAACTACCAATTATGCTAGCATATTCCTTTTAATCAATCACTTCTTTTTCATTTGTTCCAACAGATAAATGTATGCTTGCATCAAAAGGAGTAGCAACATGTTTACAGTCTAGAAAATTATATTTCTTTAAAATTTTCTCAACATAATGTGATTGATCAAGAAAAATACCATCATTAGTCTTGGTAATTTTAATTCCCAAAATAAAATTGGCTTCACCAAGATCTTTTATATCAAAGTGGCTATTAAGCATATTTTTAGTCTCATTTATAATATGCAAATTAGAGCCAAAGATAAGTAGATCATCCACATATAGGCTAATAATTACATGTGTGTGGACGTGCCCTTGGGCTTTATGCTACCATAGTTCGGACTCGAGTGTCACGGTTCTGAATCTAATTCCGCAAAGTGCTATGCGAGACCGATAAATCACCAAAGAGTCCAAATCCGGCAAATCGTTTTAGAAAACTAATTTTTAAGAAAGAAGTACCAAACATGGACTGTTTTGCCAGATACAGAGTCGCCACCTAAATATTTATTTTAGGGGAATTTAGGAAACTCTGACTCGTTGTCTAAGGCCACGTGTCTGTCATCACCAAAGTTGCCTCGGCACGGCAACTTGTGTACTGTAGACACCCCATTTTTGACCATCCTCAAGACTTGGACGTCACCGTTTGAACACTCGGTGATTATCCATGATTGTGTTCGTTTGGAGTTCCCGGAGGTCTCAGCTCGCGTGCCTTGCCTCAGGATCTCCGAACTCAACCGTTTAGTGTCTGGTTTCACACCAAACACTTGTGTTTTGCCTTGGAAGGGAAGGGAATGCCTTGTGAGGCATCCCCATACACCACCGGCAGTGGCTAGAGGCCACTGGCTGGTCTTTGCTGCCACCGGCAATGTATATTGCCGGCCGGCACTATTTGTTGCCGGTCAGCACTATTTAGTGCCGGTCGGCACTCTTTTTTTCCAAAATGGCATTTTTGGCCGGCCGACTACTGTGCATTAGCTTTTACAGATATTTTAAGACAGCTGTCTTGCTTTTGGCTCCCCTCCATACACGTGTATGGAGGGATCTCCCTCTTATGAAGCTTGTCTTGTAAGCTTTACAAGACAAGAAGTTCTATAAAGAGAGGGGCTCTCTCTTGTTGCAAGGGTTAGACACTTGAGATATTTTAGAGAGCTTAGACAGCCATTTTCATGGTTTGAGTTCTAGGGTTAGGGTTTGATACACATTATCTCTCTCTTTTTTCCCTCTTGTGTGTGTTAAAGTGTGTTTGTGTCTTACTATTGCACACAAACACATAGTGTTTCACCTTCCTATAGCTACTGAGGTTCTAAGGGGCTGATTTTGGTGTTTGGTGTTGGATTCAAGCCAAGGAGGGCCATTGGAGCATCATTGTTGAAGAGGTCTTCAAGGGTGAGAATCTTACCCCTTTTTACCCCAATCTTGCATTGATTTTCTACCTATCTTAGAGCAGTTTTCGTGCTTATTGTATAACACAAAAAAGTTCTATTTTTTAGTCCTCTTGATTGTTTATTGAGAGTGTTTTGTGGTTTGAGGGTGTTTGACCCCTCTTAGGCCTTGAAAGGCCCCATTTTGAGCAATTTTGAGCAAGCTTCGAGACTTTGGTGTTAGGGCCTCTTCACCACTGAAATCTTGAGGGATTTCAGTGGTGGAGATGGTGCCTTGAAGTCTCCAAAAGGAGAGGGCCACCCCCTCTCCTTGTTGTCCTTAAAATGGACCATTTTTGGCCTCTTGAGAGAGCACCTAGCTAGGCATCATGTTGACCATGCCTTAGTTGTTTTTTGTGCTTAATATGTCATATTATGCCTCTGGTTTTTGTTGGTTTTGGTACACAATGCATGCTTAGCATACCCACCATGTAATGCAATGTTATTGCCTTAATATGCCTTAGGTTGTTAGCCTTTGTTCTAGCATGTTCTAGGCTTAGTCTTGTGAAGCTTTTGTGCATATTTTGCCATGTTTTAGGTCTGTCCATAGTTGTTTGGGTCGGATTTAGCATGCTTAATATAGCCTCTTTGCATTCCGGCTTGTTGACCTTAAGTGCATGAATGTATAGCATGACATTTTTGTATTGATTTGGTGATTTGGAACCATCTACCATGTCATTTCAGTCCCATTTGCATGCCTATATGTTTGCTTTGGACACATCTTTAATGCTTTGGAAGCTTGTGTAGTATGCTCCATGTTTTGGCACTTGTGCATGCCTTTGAATTTGAGCCATTTAGATGCCATCTAAGTGGTCCTTGGGGCTTTATTTTATGTGCTAAAATTTTGTTTTTGGTCAATAAGTTCATGCCATGTTTGGTCTTGCTAAGTGTAGTTCAATACTCCATT